GAGCGCGGCAGGCGGGGGCCGCCCAGCGCGCTGCTGGCAAGTAGGTTGCTCGGCTCTGATCTTTTCCTTTCAGGGAACTTGCCTTTTGCTCGGCCTCTATGTGCGGAAGCCTGGTAGTTAAGCAGCTAGCTGCGACAATATTGCTAGTCCTCTATTCACCAGGGAGCTCTTTTCTGTAGAGCTGGGTATCACATAACTAAGTTGTTTCCTTAACTTGCTGTTGGGTTGCTGTTAGGGCTAGGAAGAAGCACCAGAACAGATTGAAAAAATCATATATTCATGCTCTAGGTCACTTGTCTTTCTGAAGATGGCATGTGTGTGGTTTTTTTTTTTAGGTTTTATAATCCACTACACTATAATATTCACGTGTTTTTCCTCCTAGCTATTTAATTTTAGATGTCTGCTCAGGACCCCATTCCCTGATACAGGCAGGTCTTCTCAGCCACTTGCCTCCTGCCTTCCCAGCAGGTACACAGATCTCATTGCTATTGCCAGCGTTATGCCAGTTATCCATTGGCTTTCTGGTCCTGGCTGCCCTGAAGGTTAGGGAGAGATGGTAGTGTTAAGGGTCCTGAGCGTCCCTGGGTGGAATAAAGTGGCAGTATTTTGCCCCTACTCCCTTTCCACATGCTGTGCTGTAGCACTCTATTTCCACTGAAACTACTCATCAGAGCTGAGTAAGATTCAACTCCTGCTGCCTTGAATCCTAAGCCTTCTTGAGAATATAAGGGAAAGAACTTGTCCCCTAAAATAGAATGGGGCACACTGAAAGTGTCTTAATGCTTGCCTATATTATAGGAGCTAGATTCCTGAAAAATCCATGGAGGTTATTGTGTTACTCTAGCTGAGGATGTAATTTATAATCCAAGAATTAGCTGACAGGATGGCCAAAACACTAAATGTTATGTCTTTTTTGATGAGATTTCCTATCCCTACTTGACATGGCAATTTGAGCAGGGGGGTTGGAGTAGATGATCTCCAGAGATCCCTTCCAACCTCAACCATTCTGTGGTTCTGCAAATATTCCCGGCACTGCACTTTCAAACAGGGTGGTAGATGTGTTTAAAGCGTTTAGGTACTTAAATATCTTGTTTTTTCTTAGGTGATACCAAAAATGCCCCAAGCAGTTCTGTCCTATTCACAAGTGTCCCAATTCCTTGTGTCCCAGATAATACTTTTCTAGAATTTGTAAGAGAAAATCTAACCTGCTTTACTAGTTCACCTGTATGTCAGCCTGAGCTCTATCTGTCAAAAAGCCGGCTGCCTAGTGTTTTCAGTGATTGTTTAGAAAATCCTGTTGTGGCAAATGACAAATACGTGGTATACCCAGTAGTTTAAGTGTCACCATAGATGATAAAAGTAGGTTACAAACATTCCTTTTGCTTTTTTTCCTTCTTTGCTGTAAACTGTGTTATTTCTAGTCAAAGGTAAATGACTGCCCAGATTTGCAGCTGATCTCTAACAGGTGAAAAATGTTAAGCTCAATAGTGAATTTGGAAGTTAGTGTATCAGCCAGCAGGTATCTGATGTATTATGCTATAGCACAGTATACTGTGGTGCAGTGGCTGAGGTATGGCTCTCAAGAACTGGGATCCCCGTATAGGAATCCAGCTCATCTTTCTTGGCCTGGAGCAGGAGCACCTACTGATAGTGACCTGCTTGGTGAGGTGAATTCCCACTGTAATGTGGGAGTGTAATGTGGGGTGTAAGTGATGCCCAGGCTGGGTGGAGGAGGTGGAGAGGAGGTAAGTTCTACTAAGGGCAATCAGTAATAGTATTAAGGTGCTTGTCCAGGAGGGCTAAGGAGGAGGCTGTAGTAGCCAAGACAGCAGTAGGGGTCATTCTGAAAGTGCAGTCACAGCCACACACAGTTTTCATTCTGCAGCCTAAAGATGAGTCAGTTTTGGACAGTGCACAGGTACCCCAGAAAAACGCTCTATGGAGGAACAGGTTTGACCATTATGTCATGAATAACAACACCCTATTTTTCATTGCTGGTGAAAACCAACAAATAATCAGATCAATTTGGCTAAGGTTAACATGCTGCTGAAGTCTGATGGTGGGAAGACTAACGTCTCTCTGGGTAGACTATGATGCTCTGCTTATAGCCAGCAAGACTGGAATCATTGAAACTATGACCTACCAAGAGCTGTACAACTGAGATAATAAACCTCTTAAAAAGTTTAGAAAAAATCTAGTTTGCTTTCGGAACTTCACTGTTCAGTGGGATATTGAATTCTTAGGTATGGATACGCCATCTCTATTTCAACTCTTCTGTTTTTACAGAGCATCACCTATTGCAGCTCATTATCAGAATAAAACATTTTACTAGCGTTTTTCAACTTTTTAAGGTTCCCTTGCTTAGTTGGAAAATTTGGGTACTCAAATACTCATCCTAACTACATAGGTGCTTAGCTTATGGTGATTAAGGAGATGGTTTGGTGACCGAGTTCTCTCTCATGCATTTTCCTTTATTCATCACCATGTTCAGGAAGCTCAGCTAATGAGGTGCTCTTACTGTTTGTGATAGTTAAGGGCCTCTTTAAGCATGGCCACACACTGACTTGGAGAAAAAACAATCTGGTCTTCGTAAGTTGGTTAGACTTTCTAAAATTTGTTTTCTTATTAGAAACTGGATGTTCTAGAACTGGATGTTCTGTATTGTGGAACGTAGAAGTGTGTAACACTTTCTAGGACTGAAAGTGTTAATAAGAGTGTTAAGAAACTAAATTTGAGATGGGAAGTGGAGGGATCTCATCTGCTGCACCATGT